TGGCTCTGTAATGCTGGTGTGGTTGCAATGACACTGAATGGCCAAGCACAGCATGGAGATGAAGGACAGGAGTATTAAGACAAATTAGGTTTGTTTATTCTGAACTAGCTTTCATTAATGCTAGAGTTTCACGTCTGTGTAACTCAGTAATTAAAAACTAATGTAAAACCGTCAGTGTAAGTAGGCTGCACATCCTAGAAAGTGAACTCAAACTTCTCACTGAATTACTGCTTCAAAGAAAAGCTTCTAGAGGATGATGGGCTGATCCCTAAAACTCTGCAAAATAGTATTTTCACATATCTGGGATAATTACCAGAGCTAACAGAGAAAGTAATAACCTTTTGGCAGAAAATTCACCAAGGGGAAGACATGCTTGACAAACTTGGTAAACTTCTATGATGATGTGGCTGGCCTGGTTGAGAAAGGGCGAACAGTGTATATTGTCTGCCTAGACTTTAGTAAGGCCTTTGATGCTGTCTCCCATAAGATCCTCATAGACAAGCTGTTGATGTATGGGGCTGTTTGAGCAGACAGTGAGGACTGAAAACTGAATGGCTGGGCCCTGAGGGTAGTGATCAATAACAGGAAGTCTTGTTGGAGGCCACTAACTACTAGTGTATGTACCCCAGAGATCATAATGGGTCTGATCCTTTTTGTTTGACATCTTTATTAATGATCTGGATGATGGGGAGGAGTGTACCCTCCTGCAAGTTTGCCGATGACACAAAACACTTTTTTACTGTGTGGGTGACCAAGCACTGGCAGATTGCCCAGAGGCAGCTGTGGAATCTCCATCCTTGGAGACATTTAGAAGCTATCTGGACACTGTCCTGGGCAGCCTGCTGTAGGTGATTCTGCTTGAGCAGGAGGATTGAAGAAGATGACCTCCTGAAGCTCCTGCCAACCTCAACTATCCTGTGATCCTGTGAAAATTAAAAGATAAGCATCAATTTATCAGCTCTAATCCCACAAAATTAAAAATACATGCATGGCTTTAAATGTGTGCTTAGTTAATAATTTATGAAATTCAATTATAATGTCAGGTTTTATTCTTATGTTCTTCAGTCCATATATAATGTGCAGGTGCTTCCTTCCTTTCCACAGTGGCAGGTAACAGAAATAAACTTTCTGTTCAGAAAGGAGCTCCATAAGAACATGAATAAAAAAATATATAAAAGCAAATGGAAGCCAAGATAAAGCACTCCATTATCAGAACACATAAGACAGGGCTTTGTGATGTCTACAATAGAAGTTAATATTAACAATCTTCTAGGCAACTTTTTAGTGTAATCATGTAAGAGCAGGGATATTGCATGATATTTCTAAGGTAATATTCTCACTTGTGCTCTGGCTTCTCCCTCTATCTCATAAGGAGTATTCCTTCCATCACCCAGATTTTAGAATCTATTCTAGCCAGCTAAATTAGAGCAGTATTTTTGTGCTCGTTTGCTGGTCATTGGAGAGATAGAAAACTCCACCAGAGCATCAGTTCAGTTCAGAAACGAGCACCAACCTACCCCCCAAAAAATAAAGGAAGACGCCCAAGCATTTTCCACTTCACTGGTGCTCTAGGCACTGGACAGCCAAGGGATGCTCTGCACAGATCCAGCTTTTTGACTGGGTCAGATTACTGACTGCCCCTTTTGCAGGGAACTCTGTGACCCCAGCAGTGAACAAACAACCCTATTTCTGACCTTGTCTGTCAGCAATAGTGACTGGGCAGCATATGGTACCATGAAGAGGATCCTGTCGGCTTCATATCACAGGCACAGCATCTACATGAGACCCACCTCACAAGACTCAGTAGGGGTGGTGGACTAGGGCTTGTGAGGTTGGTAGCTTCTGGCCATGCCATGGCTCACATAGTGCCATTACTGGGAAAGCCTAGGAGAAAAGCTGCTAGCACCTGGATGAGAGTATGCTGGAGTCTCTCAAGCTTCTAGAAATCCCTAAGGATGGGACAATGACAGCTTAAGGTCACCAGGGTCTTGCTTGTAGGTCCTGTTTGACCTGTCTGCAATCTTTGCACAGAAGGAACCAGGACAAAAATCTGTCTGATGGTGGAAAAAAAGAAGAGTTGAAGAATGGGAATGGTTCCTGTTCTCTTCCCTCTAAATCCTGACGGAGGACATGAGCACTCATTTATCTAATTGCAGGTTGGCCTTTTGTCGGCAGTTCCTCACATGGTCATGACAATCATTGTACCCATTGGAGGGCAGCTAGCTGACTTCTTACGCAGCAGGAAGATTTTAACCACTACCACTGTAAGGAAGGTCATGAATTGTGGAGGTACTGTTGGATTCTGAAAATATAATATTTTACTGGTGTGTTGCAGTTGATACAAATAACATAGTTTTGTCCATGTTTAATTGTAATAAGAGACAAATTACTCTAGATTGCATTTGTGGCTGGTTAATCTGAAGCATTTAATGGAGAATTGATGTTAGATGTCTTCATGGTATAAACCCTTACCCATACGAGCATGCTTTTAAAAAGGGCGGAGGCAAGAAGCCTGGTTAATAATTAAAAGGACAATAGGGACCGGCTCAGAAAGGTAGTATGATGAAATAGGCCTCATCTTGCAAACTCATGCAAAGTTAACCCTGAACTGTGGTGCTAGAGAGATCCTTTCCTAGTGGATACAGTCGTGCAGTAACTGGCCGTGTTCCCAATTGTTACTTCCAGCAGAGCCCACTGGCACGTTTAGGCTGCTAGGAGTGAATAAAAAAGAAAAAGGCAAGGGATGGACAGACTAATTTTCACTCAGCACAAAATAATTCATTTCCAGTTCTGTCACTGAACTGAAAAATTAATGACATCTACATACAGGGAAGATACTACATTAGAAAAAAAAATCAATCCAGATAGTCTGTGGAGTCCTTCTCCACTACCACTTCCTGGCTTACAGTATTTACGAATGGCACAGGCTGCCTGAAATATAGACGCCTGCCATCAGAGATGCCATGCAGCTTGGCTAGATGTCTTCATAAAGGATTCTCAAATTCAGTGTATTTTAAGAGTGTATTTTCAGTGTCATTAAAAAGGAAAAAAAAAAAAAAGGAAAAAACTACCAAAACTAAAACCAAAAAAAGCCCCAGAAGGATTGTAAAGTTATATATTAGGAAATGTTAATTTGCAGTAATGGCAGAGACTGGAAATTCCCTGTCATGCTCAGGGATGTCTTATTGTGTTCGTGGCATGCCTCTATATAAAATGCTCTTCTGTTCTATTTACCAAGAAAACCTCACATTGCTACAACCATGGGAAATTGAAGGCAAGTATTTTTCTCCTTTCCCTGTCATGTTGGTGTGTTTGTGAACTTTCCAGTGCTTTGCACAGAGTCATTTTCTTTTTGTTTCCCTGTCCTGCCCAAGGAGTTAACTGTACCAATGACTTGGGTCTTTTACACAGCAATGGGGAGAAAAAAGTATATTCTCAGACAATAAATATTCATATTTTTTCTGCAAATCCAAAAAGCTTCCACGTATGTTCAAGAATAGCTGTAAGATAAAAAATACTTTTGTCTCATTTTAGTTTGCTATTCTGGCTAGACCTTATTAGTACCTTCATGACCAGTAGCAATTGAAATTGAATTCATTCCCATGTGTTTCTTTTGAAGGCTTTGGGATGGAAGCAACCTTGCTTTTGGTGGTTGGTTATTCTCATACAAAAGGTGTGGCTATTTCATTTCTGGTGTTAGCAGTGGGCTTCAGTGGGTTTGCAATTTCAGGTAAGTGTTTATCTTATTCTTGGTTTTACTACTATTGATAAAAGTGATGTTGTTATCCCCGCTGTTGTTATTGTCATAATTTCTATCATTCTGTTTGCTCTTGATGTAGCTGTTTATAAGGTATTCCCTATTTCTTTCCATATCAGAAATAATTTACTTCAATATCTATGAAACGTGTTGCACATAGGACATGAAGCTTTGAGAGAAGCTGCGCTTTATTGATTCCAGTTTACAACAGCTTGTGCTATTATTTTTTAATGAATTTTTACAGTGTCAGCCACTTTTTCTTCTTGCATAAACAATATCCCTAAAAGAAGAAAGAAAGTGACTTACTCTGAAATTAATAGTTGCTCAAAGGCTATCAGTTGTGACCCGGCTCCCAGCCCTAGCTGCCAGTTTCTGCTTCTTAGGTCAGTCCTTTCTCTTGTTGCGTCCTATAGCCAGCCTTTCACCAAAACAGCTGGTTTTAACACTTTCATGGGTCTCACCAGTTCAGACTGACTTTTGTAGCTCCAACAGTACCAGCATTGTAATAAAATCCCATTTTGTTATGAAGATGGAAGGCCATCAGCTAGCACACTGCCAAGAAGATGGATCTATTGAACAAAACTGACCAGCAACATTAACTGCTGGTCTTCAGTAGTTTCAGGGTATCCAGACGGGCAGTAGCTTAGCTACTCAGTTGTGATACGCTTGCACGGCAGGCCATTTCTATCAATCAATTTTTATTGCAGGATTTTCCCAGCAGTCAACTTTTTACTGCATTCAATTGCATGCACTTGGAATTCATCATCCTTCCTTGTGATCGTCCATAGCTCATATGACTAATTTTCATTGCCTAAATTGTGATAATTAACGGAGATGATTTTTCCTTTTTTTTATCTATTTCTTAGTAAAATATATACCCAGAAGATACACTGCAGTAAGAGTAATTATTTTTCATACTAGTCTATAGTCTGTTTTTTTTTTATCATGTTGTTAAACTGCTATTTCAAATATTGGACGACGTATTAAGCACCACTACTATCTAAATAAAACTGTATCAGACATTTGATTAACATGTGGCCTTCATTCCTGAATTAAAAATATTTCCTGAGTGCATTAAGAAAATGAGAAGCACAGATACTTTAAATGAGTCCAAAACAAAGTACATGATCCCCAAAAGTGGGGGAAAAGGGGTTTTTGAAAAAGAATGAAGAGTTGCAACATATCTTTAATACCAAGAAAACACTACCCTTCTTTCTGATACGTGTAGTAGGGGGTTTCCTACCTTTTCAGGCTTCTTCAGCCAGAATGGTTGTAGGAAGCCCTGTTGGCCAGGTGGCACAATGTTGTGTAGTTGACCATTGTCTCTCATTTGCTGTAGGATTCAATGTAAATCACTTGGACATTGCACCACGTTACGCCAGCATTCTGATGGGAATTTCCAATGGTGTGGGGACACTGTCGGGAATGGTGTGCCCACTCATCGTTGGTGCAATGACAAAACATAAGGTAATATTTCTCCATGTTTTCTATTTGGCAATACAAGAGTTAAGACATTTCAAAGCTTCCTGGGAAGTCCATTTCATCATCAATCTCTGCGGCTATTTTCTGTTGTCTTAAACATTCACTTTTGTAATATAGTAGTGGCATGATTCTCACCTATCATAAACAAATTATCTGTGTAGGGAAATACTATTTTATACTACTTGCGGCTGAGTCTCTGCAATATCTCCATACTACTGCTTATAGGACTTGGGAAACAATTCTACAGTGCATCCCTGGTGGGGTGCACTGGAACCCATCCTGGCAGGGTTCCTAAGCAACCACTGATCTACAATAAGATTAATGTTGTTAGAGAAATCGCTGCATTTTTAACTCCAGGAATATTTCACATTTGAGAGAGAAACTTCAAACTTTGCTGTCAAAAAAAACCAAACCAAAACAAACCCCCAAGTTTTATTTAATTAGCCATTATTATAAAAAAAGGAAAAAAATCTTCACAATGACTCTCATAAATTGTGCTATCTGTAACATCAGGAATCAAACAGTGGTCATTGTTCAGTATGTGCTAATTCGTGGTCTAATTCAGAGAATAATATTTTTTTTTTACTGCAAACTTATTGAGACCTGAACCATTCTTTCAGACTCGTGAAGAATGGCAAAAAGTCTTTCTGATTGCAGCCCTGGTGCATTACAGTGGAGTGATATTCTACGCTATCTTTGCTTCTGGGGAGAAGCAGGAATGGGCTGACCCTGAAAACCTCAACGAAGAGAAATGTGGCATAATTGATCAAGATGAACTGGCTGAAGAAACAGAAATGAACAATGAAACTTTTGTAAGTCCAAAGAAAATGTATGGTGCTACCAGTGAAAACAGTGAAGTACAGAGAAGAGAATGGAGAAGGCAAAAGCAAGTGACTCAAGACATGGAAGAACAGAGTTCTTACCATTATGAAAATGGCAATTTTCAAGATTTGTCATAATTCTTGAAATTGTAAGGTTTGTATAGCAGCTACTCCCATCTCCCCTTCTGCTCAGCTGCCCCAAATCATCAGGTATCCACATTTATTATCTTATTCAATTGTGTAACATCTGACCATGTGACTTGATACAAGGGGTGGTAGTTCTCTTCGAATAATATGGAAAAGGGATAACAGCAATGGGACTGGGAGAAGTGATACCAAATCCTCGCTCAGCCATTGTATACCCCTGGGATGAGATTCTATGCTTGTTAGGAGATGACCTGTACTGCCAGGGCTCCTACCTGGTGCAAGCTGTAGGATTGACTGTAGGAGCACATGCCAAACTACAAACTCATGCTAAAAGATTAGGGTGGAGTGAAAAGCAGATTTATGAAAGCAGGCTGTGATTACTTACTAATGGTCACTTAACAACAGGATGAGGAACAAGTAGCACAGATGGCAGAGCATTGTTTCAGCAGTTCCTTCATATCAATTGACAGTCTGCTTTATCTGCATAACCTACAGAGCATGGATAAGGCAATAAAATGGATACTTTCGAGATCTGTCCCCCTCCAAAGATTTTGTGCTGGCATGAAATAATTCTGAATATAAAATCATCGTTAGTGATGCAATATTATTAATCCTTACAAAAGGAGACCATAGTCCTGTTTGGATTAGGTTTCTCACTCAATTCATTATTGTCAAGTAATTCACATATATTTTTCTAGTATTGTACTGATAGTTTCTGGCCTCAACCCCAGCAGTTCTCATTTAGGTGAATGACCTTAATCACATGAGTAATTGTTAGTTCTCTATCTGTTACTTTTAATGCCTCAGTCTTGCTGTTGCTGCAAATGAAGTATGGTACTATTTGAGAGTTAACAGAGTACTGTGTCTAAAAGCAATTTTCTTTTAGACACAGGTATATTGGTACATATTTTGATATATGTTTGACAGTATAAAGTGGCTTTAGCCTTTTTCTACCATTTTTAGAATCAAACAGTGGAGCATGCTGTATCATCTCAGATAGTTGCAACTCAGAGACTCATTGTGGCATTAATACTCTTTTCAGAATGAAAAATTTCAGTAAACTGTGATTTAATTTGTCTTTTATTATGATTACTGCCTCATTAAATTCAAGTGAAAGCTATCCTGTGTAGCGTACAATGTGCTTTGTGATGTTTCAGTATTGTTCTGATGTACCATATATAGCCACTGTGATGATCATGAAATTTGAACATTTCTAACATGCATTTTGCTATTTTGTTGAAGTGCAATTGAATACCATGAGTGGAATTACACTTGTATATTCATTTGAATCCATGGATGATTTATCTTTCCTACAAATGTAATTAAAGAGGAAGACCAGGAAGTTAGCTGATTCTCTTGTTCCTTTTCTACCCAGAAAAATCCAATCTGCAACTATGTATGGATAAGAAGCGAGGTAAACAGATACATGCCTCATTTAACTACAGTGAAAACTTTTTAATTGGTATCAACAGATAATTTAATGATAGGGGTATTGTGGGGTATTGTTGTGGTGTAGCTCAATCCTACCTTGACACAATGTAGTTTATTAATAAAATACTCAAAAAAAAAAAAATCTTATTGCTTTATCCTGTTAGGACAGAGAAGAACCCTTCTTTTAAAATCCTAACCTTTGCTTTAAACTAGAGTTGCTTATTTCTCTACTGACATTTAGAACAAGTATAAGAAACTACCTTCATTCTTGCAGGTTACAGTCAGGATTTGGGAATTTAAGTGGCAGGAGCTTGAGTCTTTCACAAAAGATGGTCCACATGCTATCAAACTATTTTGCAACATCAACCATAATTTATGACAGAAAACGTACTACTTCTTTGAATATGCACAAATAAATCAGCTCCTTCCTCCCTCTCCAATCACATACCATGCATATGTGGTACTGCAAGAACTCTTAATAGTGAAAATCATATTATGGAAGGACTTACTGTAAGAATCTGCAAGTATAATCTGGCAGAGAAGAAAGAGAAGGCCAGACAATTCTAGACTATTCTAGAAACAGTAAGGTTTTCTGAGAAGCATCATTATTTTTCCAGTGATGATGAAGGGTAACTTTCCTGCCTCACAAAGAGGAACACGAAGGGTGTGAATGCTATTATGATAAAGAACTACAAACATCCCAAAAGCCTGGGAAATGGCCAGCTGGCGCAGGAGAGCTCATTTGCCTCGCTGGTGAATGTAGTTGCTATTTCTTACTTTTACAGATACACACCACAACTGTCACAAGTGACACATGATACAGTGAGGAGCTCAGTTTAGCAGGATCAGTTTGTACCTGCAAACAGACCCCACTGACTTATTTCAGTGGAAGCTTGACTTCAATAGATATTTGAGCATTATTTAATGCATTGAAAGAAATAAGCACTTTCTATCTTTTCTAAATTTAACTGCTTCCAGAGGCAGAATATTATCTCAGACTAGTGAACTTATGTACAGTCCACAATGCTTTTCCAGGCAATTGCATTCAGATGTTTGGGCTGCCAATTTCCCTTTCTTTTTCATCTGTTTAATTTGTTCAGGTGCGTTGCATGAAGTGTAAACATCAGCAATGGTTGGAATTAGTTTTCTTTCCTGGAAATCTTTGTTACTTAATCAACACTTTGATATGCACAGTGGCTTCCACAATACTGTATGACCAAGAATAAAGCCAATTTACTGGGAACAAACAGTCCTTGCAGCTCCAGATTTGTTGGTTATCTCTATCTGCAACCTGCTCCAACAGCCTTTTCTTGTGTGAACAGAGAAAGCACAATCACTGAGGGTGTTTCTGCTCTAAACTGACTTCTTAAAACATGTTAGATTTTGGAACATTCAGGCAAACACCTGGCATATCGCAACCTGACTCTAAAAAGGTCATGGCTCTAATGCCAGCAGATGAAAAGAACTCAAATGATACTCTCTAAGAAGAAATATTAGTTTGCTTAGCTTCATTTATTATTTTATTTGCCTTTTTTTCTGTTCTCATGTCCAAAATAACTTCTGCATATTTTCAAATATAAGACATTGCTCATTTCAGAAAAACTCAGAGTTTTATTTAAAAACGGTTTTCTGATTGCAGAAGGAGGCAAAAGCTGGTTTATAGAAAAGAGATTTCAAGCAAGCCAGGGGAAGAAAAACAGCTTCATATAATGTGAAATAGTAGAATAGGTAGGCCACAGAATATTAAGTCTGAGGAGAGAAAAAGTAGGACAGTAACTCCTAGGTATATGTTATTCAGTATTGTTATCCACTGATCTTTCTTAACAAAGCAAGCTGCAGCTTTTATTTCCTTACCCCTGATGTTTTATAGACACTACTAGCAGAAGTTTGATGGTAATTCGTAGTCCTGTTATACTTATGTAAGGGTTAAACAAAACATTCCTTGTAGTGAGAAAGGGAAAATTGACAGAAACAATGAAAATTCATCTGAACAGAAACTTACACAGGGAAATAATCACTTAGTCCAAAAGAATATACAGACTTTTGGATTAAAAAATATAACAAGGGGATCCAGATGTTAACAAAGTGCCAGGAGGATTATCACGTGTGTAACATAATTAAGTTGAAAGTAGCAAGGCAAAAATTAATTCAAGGTCATGCAAAATGTATCCTGGCTTCACATGAATGTTTCCAATTGACTCCTTCTGTCAGAAACTCACAGAGATCTCTAAATTTAGTCATTATTTTAAGGAAAATTTTGCAAACCCCCCAGATTTCCTATCTTATTTTTATCCCCATTTTCTATTAAAATCCTTAACTTGAGAGTGCTATTTAACTATTTATATTTTAAGAGAAGAGTATTTCTTGTGGTTAAAAGAACAGAAAGGAGAAGGAGAAAGCAAGTTGCAGCAAAGAGCTAATGTATACAGAGGGCTGAAGATGGCTAAGAAATCTGCTTCCAAATCCTGGAAACAGAACTTGGAGTTCTCTAGATTTTTGAGTTAAAAACCTATGGGCTGGCTCAAGGCCTGATATTCTGCATCATTCCAAGGTTCAGGGAGTTAACTCAGGTCTCATTGCAAAGCTTGACTCTCATTTAATCA